ATATTTTACTCTTTACGTCATTGGGAATATACTCGGAGAGTGCGGCTTCAATCAGTGCGGTTTCACTATTTCAAAAGGAACTATTTTTTCTGTTGAACAAAACAAAATTACAATTGATTTTTGCTTACATAAATGATCGGCTTTTTCCTTTATACGGTCAAGTCTCTTATAGTGGCTGTTCAATTTATGAGGTTCTAAAGTCTTGGATTAGTGCGGTTTCAAACAGTGCGGTATATGGTTGTACTTCATTTTCTGATAGTTATGTGTATTTTTATAGTTTCAAATTGCTTTTGAACATCATTTTATCCAAAATTTATACAAATAAAATGTTTTTTTACTATTAGAAAGTATAAATCTGCATATTTTCTTAAATTATATAGACTTATTATTATCATCTCATGATATGTAATAGAAACAAGAACTATTTTTTATGTTTCTCCAGATGTTAATAATTGCTTTGACATATACATAACAATTTCTTTAAAAAGAGTATTTATATATTGTAATTATACAAAAAGACGGAAGTTCATTGATAAAATAAACATAATTCCATTATGCCCAACTGTTATATAATAAATTGAAATCAAAGTATATTTCATTCAATAGTTTAATTATAAAAATATGAAACTCAATTATTTATTTTTGAAGATTTTTAATAATCATGAAGCCCTCATTCTAAACATTGAAATTACAGCTAAATTTCTGTTTCAATGTACCAAAAATGATGTGACAAATAGTTAACATTTTCTTAAACAAGAGTAATTATATATTTTAAATCTAATTAATGACCATTTGTTAACAGTATAAAAAGCCGGAAGTCCATTGACGAAGAAAAAACTTAAATTCATTCAATTGAAATCAAAGTAATTACAAAATCGTTGAATTGAATTGAAATCAAAGTATATATTGAAAATAATTAATAATTCGAAAGTGAAATGATTGTGCGTTAAATGATTCGATTTAATTATTTTAATTATGCCGAGGACCTACAGAGCTCGTTACGCAACACGCACTTGAGTGGTGCTTTTTAATGATTAATCTCGCGTTGTTCTCCAGATGAACGGAGCGTTGTGTTAAATTGTACAGAAAACTTACAAAGATTTCGCTCGAAACGAAACCGTTCCAATTCACATGCAGTCTTGATTGCTCGTTTCGATTCTTGCTTTTTTTGACAGTTCAACGTCCTCCTCCTCATCGAGATCTCACGTTTTTTTTTAAATAAACATTTGTGTTGTTTAAAATATATTACGCATTATTACTATAATATATTCAAATTTCTCTTCTGCGCTTTATTATGTAAACTTATTACATATGTTATCGAATTGTTGAATAAAAACCAATGTAAAGTTAAACTTTCGCTAAATGATCGACAATAAATATAAATGATATATCTCCTCCATTTAGTTTCATTTTTTTATTCGAACGTTAAAGTCTTTTATTATCCGTGGCAATTCGAAAAGAAAACTCGGCTTTTACTGTTCTTTTTTTCTCTCATTTTACTTTTACTATTGCCACTTTAACACACATTTGCTTACTTTAAAAGTCTCCAATAATAATAAACCTAGTTGTATGTTTCTAACGTGCAAGTGTATCATAGTTATATTTTACAGCCTTGACTCCGATCCTTATTTATTGCTATCACGATTATTATTATTATTAAAATAGGCAATAATTTGCTGATTTAATTACGAAATCACCATTTTTTAACGTTCGCTCATTGCTAATGAAACAACAACAAACAACTAAAAAAATCGCACTTTATACCTTTCCATTCATTAACATTATTTGCATAATTTTAATGTAAGTAATTAAATTGTTATTAAAAATGTTATTATTACTTTTTTTTTTATTAAATGAAAGTAATTGTTTTATTTGCAAGGAAACAAACTTATAAATTCGTTTCATTGCTATAAAATTAAACAATTTGTCTGTGAAGATTAAGTAAGACTGTGGAAGAAAAATGTATGTGCAGGACAATGACTTTAATTTAGACAAGTAAATTGAGGACGATAAGAAAAGCGAAATAAGTTATATAATCTTTGACATGATGCGAATGAAATGATGAAAAAATAAAAAAAGAAATAATTTGTAATTATATTGCAGCCTTTGTTTAATGGGGAAATAGTAATGAATGTCCGTATATAAATCGATCCAAGGAATATAATTCATGCGTTCATACGAAAAGCAGATTTCTAGGTGTTGATTCATTGAATGCACAAGGAACCCACTCATCGAGTATTTTCACCTTGCCAATGGCGACGAATCGTTCGCCTACGTTCCAAAAGGCCATCGTTTATCATGGAAGAGACGATGGTTTTCTATGTAAATACAACAATTGCATTCTCTTTACTACAGAAGTTAACTTACGTATTCGTATATTGTAGTTATTATTTATTTTTTTTGTGGGTCATTTCGTATAGTCCATACATGAACACCTTCCTACTCGACCCAGTTACTGGGTCAATCAGCTTCATCAAGTCCATCCGTCAATCGAATTACTTATGTTCTTATAATTCACGAGCGTTATTACAGATCCAAGTACATCTCATAAAGTATTTAGTATGTGCGAATAAATTGCAATGCTTAAACACTTGTCCTGCTTAGTTACTCTGACCCATTTCTTCTTTAAAGTGGATACTTTACACGCTGTTGCGACAGTAGTTTGTCACGTCAAGAGCCCTCGTTGAAGGGAGTAAAACCAGATTTTAAATATGGAATTGGAACAATATTTTGTGTTGTGCAATATAAATGAAAATAGTTCTTCATTGCTTTAAATCGCCAAGAGAAAGTACACTTTGCAAATTGAATACATTCAATATTTGAAAGAATGAAAATCCATTATTATTATGATGACTAAATTCCTTATAATTCCATATATAATCTCCATATTTAATATTACGACAAGTATCCTTAATAGTACTGTTAGGATTTACGAGTTTTAACACTGAAAATATTTAATGCAACATTGAATGATGCATAAAAGTAAATTGGTTTTACCAAATAAAACAGTTTCAACTAATTATTAAGACCCATTTAGGATGTACTTTATGAATGAATGAATAGCCATAAAGCGACCTTTGTTTTTACACGTGCACTAATTAATTTTGATTAATTTCTCTCGGATGCACTTGGAAAATTAATTAATATTTTATATTCCAACAGGCAAAGAGATCCGATCTTAATAAGAGACTATCGAGCTTCATGTCTTGACTAATAATGCAACGATTTACATAATATTACTTTTATATTGGAGCTATGATATCATTAATCAATAGTGAACGTTAAGTATATTATCGTCTGATAAGAATGTTTTGTGATGATTGGTTTGTACCCACTGGCGTTTCACAGACGCCGTGCGATTAAGGGAAGGTTATATATAGATCCAGTAGTTTTCAGCACTTAAAATTGATACCTAAAACAAGTCTGTTTCAATTCATAGCTTGTTTGTTATTTAATTGTGGAATGAACGTTGTGGAATGAAAATATTTGAGGAGATTTTTTTCAAGTATTCTTTGATGATACAAAATTTATTTAAAAATAAATAAGCATTATTTGATTAAAGTTGATTATGGGAGTTTTTCTTGTAGAATGGGAAATTTCACCCATTGTTAAACATAACAACTCGAGGTAATTTGAGAGTTGAAGGTCGTTGACCGAAATATTTCTTGAAGCAAATTTCATTCATGAACATTAAAATGGTCTCACATATTAATAGCTATTAAGGTAAAATGATGATGATATACGAATTATATTAATTTTTCTAGTATATTAAACATATAAAGGCAACGGTACAAGAATAAAAATACAGTACGAAAAAAATAATCAGAAGAAACAGAAATAAATATATAAAATAATGACCAAACGACACGCATCTATTTCAAATGGTAATTGCTTCTCACGTAACTGTAAAATCCATCACAATAGGAAAATCTTTTTGAAGAAATTTAAAAAAAAAACAGTATTTGCTAATGTTTTAATAAGAACGATTATTGGAAGATGCGATACGCAGTGATGATCATGAGCGCACATTCAAATAAGGCGCCAATTTCATTTCCTCGTTGTGCCTCTTCCTATTCTCTCTTCGCATGGGAACGAATAGCGTGCGATAATTACACCAATATATCGTAATTGAATATTAGCTCTTCTCTTCTCGTTTCTTCGTTACTTAAAATTTTCGATTTCTAATGTGCAGTTTTCGCGCTAGGAAGAACGACGAAGCAAAAATTATAATATTACGAACAATAAAATTTTCCCACTAACGGTTTACAAACATAATTTGAGACAATGATAGGCCTTTCTATCCTGTGCATGCTATTATACGATTATATTGTTATGAACCAACACTTTACAATAAGAAAATTGATTCACACTAATCACCAGTCCCACCAACTTCATTTCTTATATACATATTCATAATTCGAATTTCTTTTTATCCTAGAAACCTTATTAATTTACTTAACAAAATAAAGTAGATAATTTCTGTATTTATTTTAATATTTTTCTTAGTTATTAAAGCTTAACTTTCCAAACATCAAAATTTAATGACTATTTTTCTAATGAAACTTTGTAAATAAAAATTTGATACCTTAATAAACATGATACAAAAATATGCAATTATTTATTTCACTTATACGGGTTCTAATATTTTATTTAAGTTGTTTTCATTCTCAGTTTGTTTTCTTCTGCAAGCAATCTTCAACAACTTTCCAACTCGGCTGCAGTTTATTCCTTGTCATATTCATATTTCAACGTATCTTTCTCAGCAATCTTTTCCACATTCCATCTATTCCTCACTATCATCAAAATCTACAAGTCTTTATTTTCCAAGAATTCATAAGTATTTCCTCCTCAATAAAACTACTTAAGACCCGTTAAAAGTAATGGATTTTCCTGCAACATAAACTTTACTTTATAAACTGTTGAAAATAAATCTTTGTTAGTTTTTTTTATTATTTAATTATAAATTTAATTGATGATATATTTTTATTTTGAATTTGCAGAAACCACATAATCATCATACAAGAGCCAGAGAAAAATTATCAGTGGACTGTGTAAGTAACATTATATTATTTTTACGATGTTTCATTTTACGACTATTTATATTCAAATCATTTAAAGACATTACAAAATTACCTAAAACTTCTTCCTAACGTAAAATATCTTAAAAACAAGTTTTAATTAATAAATTGATCATTGTTAGTAAAATTTACAATCTCTGCATATGAATATTAAGTGATTTACTAATTAAAGGAAACAGTTGACATGCGTATTATTATTTATTTTTTCTTGTGTACTTAATTATATTGTTTTTTTTTATATAATTAGAATGATACAAATTGTCTGGAAAAGTCAACTACAGTAATTATTTGAGTTAATATTGCATATCTTAGGTGTCATTGAGAATTGCTAAGTAATGTGACTAATATGTAATTTTGCATGTCCTTCTTTTAATGAAATGAAATAGTTACATAGGAAATATCATTGATTATTATTGCAAGCAGAATATATTGTTTATTATGTAAATTATAAAATTACCTTTATTACATTATTATTTTATTTGATTAAATAATATTTCTTACCGGAATGAAAAAATATAAGAATAGAGCTAAATTAAGTAAACCCGTAAGTACCACGGATGGGTCAAATTGACCCATCATTCGCATTATAACTATTCTAGTATATTATAGTAATTGCACTTTTCAATAGAAGCCAAGCACAGGTAGTTATTTCACTATAGAGTGTATTTAGGGTCAAAGTGACCCGCAATAAAATCAGTTTTAAATGATCCGGTCATTTTGACCCATAGTACTTGCGTTTTCTTTATTTGTACGTACTAGTTACGGGTTAATAAGTTTGTTCAATATTGTTTTTTGGTCCACTAAAATACATTGATTATTATTGGAACAAACAACTTATTGTTATGCAATTACATTTACAGCATTATTACTTTTGTTTATTTCTCGGACTTATGAGACAATATTTGTTACTAGAAATTTAATCATAGTTTAATTAATGTGCATTTCTCCTTGCTCCATAAACTCTGTATGTTTACAACATTTTCGTTATGCAATTATAAAATTACGTTTATTGCATTATAATTTTCACGTTATTTCGTGTATTTATGGGACAATGTTTATTACATTCAGCATGTAACTAGAAATTTAGAAGTTTAATTAATGTGCATTTCTCGCTGCTCCATAAATTTAGGTCCACGAAAATAATAATAATAAATAATAAATTTCAATTACTCGTTGATCCAATTCACTTGGATGTGGCAAACTGTATACTACCCATTATAATAAATTCACCAGATTGATATAGACAATAAATTGTAGAATGTCCTAATTGGTTCGAATACACATGTCCTAAAGCGATAATTGATTAATTCACGATGGAGAATAGTTGTTGGATATATCTGAAGCACGCGCGACCATCGATCTACCGCTGTGAAACTTCCATTGCCAATAATAGCTCATTGAAATTATTACATACACTGAACTACATTTTCTTGATATACAAGCAACCTATATTTTTGTATTTATTTTTTTTTTGGTTTCGCCGCTCTTGTTTTTCAAGATAATGATCATCGCTCTTCCAAATATCCAGTTCGAAAGTCTCCTTGTCAATCATCATTTATTTCACCACTACGATCACACAATTATGTTCTCAGCTATTTATTTATTTTGTTTACAATCACCTATTGTTATTGATGAATTGTATTCGATTATTTGTTCATTTATTTCATTACTCGACTCAAACCGATTTCCTTTTCTAATAATATTATTAGTTTTGTACACAACAGATTTCACTCTCTAAAAATAGTTGAGATGTAGAGAGAATGAAACTGTAAATGTACATGTAAATTATGTTACTTTCAGAAAGCATTTTATTTAAATTAAGTAATTATCAATGAAAATTTAGTGAATATACAATGTACATAATTAAACTTTTTATACACTAATACCTAAAAGGTACTCTACAAAATACATAAGCATTTCGATTAACGAAATATATACTTTTTTTGGTGATATAGTACAGTGATGCCTCTGATAACGAAGCTTCGATATTACGAATTCCGCTATTTGATATCCAATTTATTTTATTTAGATCAGTGATTCTCAAAGTGTGGGTTATTGACAGATCAATCCTGGTTGTTTTTCTATACAAACCCTCGTGGGGTCGTAGATAGGTCAAAAAGGTTGGGGACCGCTGATCTAGATGACTCAATTAGCTAGGTTTGGAGATTTAAATGAAAAATAGGAAATTGTTAAATGATTTATAAAGTGAAACTTGTCTTTATTCGAAAAAAATCTTTTCATTTTCTTTACAAAGATATGTGTAGCCATAGCATTTTTTACCTCGGAAAACGAATTTCATTACTTAAGGTATTTTTAACTTTTATCAAAAAAAAAATACTCTATAGTTTTGTTAAAGACAATTAAAAAATACTTAAATAAATATAAAAAAATGAGATTTTCGTTATGAAACTGTGAATGTTTATAATTGATTTGTGCATGTGAAATTAAAGACAATTTATGTGCAAAACAAAAGAGTCGACGTTAACAAATGGACAATGTGTCATAATATTTTCTATTTATAAACAAAAATGTTTCTTAATTATCTTAAATTAGCAACGGGTAATAGAATTCTTAAATGTCAAACTTTCATTTTCGTCAAACAAACGAAAATTATTAATAATAAAATATTCATCTTTCATGATAGTCTCTATTTAATTTCGCGCATTGCCTCACACAATTAAAAACACGTTGCATAAAAACATAATTAACTTACCTGAAAGTTTATGTTCATAATGAAGTCAAGTTTATATTGCATATTTATGTGGAAATTATCTACTAAAACTTAGAAAAAAAAGAACAAATCAAATTAAATCTTCGAATACGTTCTGGAAATATATCAATATTTTGATTTCAAAGTGGAATAAAATCAGTATTAAATGATGTTGAATTCAATAAATTGTTGTAAAAAATTCAATTTTTTGAATATTTAATAAACGGGTCATTTTGACCCATAGTTAGTACTTGTGTTTTATTTATTTATCAGTAGTAGTTACTGGGTAAATTTAAAAAGTATCCTTCTTGCAATGAATCAAGTTTACATTTTCGAGAAACATTGTTTTTTTTTACTATAAAAACAAATATTTTTTTGTTGAAACTCTTATATAACTGATATTAAGATAACTAATGATTATGATATATATTTTAGCTGAAAACTATATACAGTGGAACCTTGCTTAACGAACAGCTTGCATAACTAGCATTTCGCTTAACGAGCAAAATTAACGTGCGATGTTTCGCATAACGAGTGACGATGAGAAGTCCCGGATTGCGCGTCTTCTGCATCATTTTTAAACTTGCATACATGTGTATTATTGAAAATGTTACACTATACGAGTAAAAATCAGGAAATTAGAAACGATTTGATTGGATGTTCAAATATAATTTAATTCTTAAATGAAAAGTGAACGACAAAATGAAATTAACATTGCAGCATTGACATTGAGGATCAGTGGTGTGTTCATGCGTTATCCTTCCACGCGTGCTGCGTGTCGGAAAGGTAACAAACAAGGTCTTCTAAAGATTCTTGAAAGTGTTCTATTTCAGAGAAACTCGGTATCATTTTCTGTGATACGAATCACGTCCGAAAATAAACACCAACTAAATTACGCTTTTACATTAAAATAAAATAAAAAATAAAAACTATTTCGAAATATATATAATAATAAAATTGCAGCTCAAATCAAGTATAATGTGAAACAATTTGCATGCGAATTGGTACTTTAAAAAAGATTGCAATCTTATTAAATTGAGTAAATTTAAAGGTTGCTTATTATTATCATTTCAGGGACAAAAGTAATATTATTGTACTCACAACTCGTATATCGAGTTTATTTTATTTCATTCTAAGAGAACCTAAAAATGTTTTATTCCAAGATTGATGATTATTGGTAAAGAACGGCAATTATATAATGCATTTTTATGCTAACTGTAAGCGTTTCGCAATGACAAAGCGAAGGTCGTCAAGGAAATAAATACTAAAAAAAAAATGTTGTTATAGACAATGAATCATCTTTTGCAAATGATCTAGGCCAAATCAAAACCTGCAGATCAATTGAAAGTTACTTCCACTTTACGTAATTTCATTTGTTGCGAAACGCGAACTGGATTTGAATGTTTTCAAATATTTAATTCATAAGTTGTATAAGGAAATGGTATAAAACATTGAAAACATATCCGACATGCATTACATCTCGTTTAAGTTGTGCCTTATAAAGGAAATTATGGATCGGTTTGTTTCTTGCTTTGCTCGAACTTGTAAATAAACCATGTTTATTGATACACTCGTATAAAATTGAAAATAAGGAATCAAGATGAAGGCTTCGGTTTTTCACCTGTTTAATTAATTTAATATGCTCGCTTTTGCTTTTACGAAATACGAAATTATTTATATTGTTTTTGCCTCTCGGCCTAGAAATCACCGCATAAATCTTCGCATTTCTATTTAATTTGCAATTACTCATTTAATTATCTGTAATTAGGATTATTGCCGTATAAATTCAGTTTCCTTTGAGTTAAAAGCAAACTCTGAGAGCGAACTTACCGCAGGCTTCCTTCCTGATAATATTTCATCAATCTTCTGTGCCGCATGAACTCTCCTCAATTTATATCTTTCGTGTCTTTGGCAAGAAAATAACTCAACATTTCATACATTTATATATGGTTTTATTGCCTCCATTCATTCCTGTTATAAATTATATAATGTAAACTTCTTTTTTTTTCATACATACACACAAATTTATAGATTTCAATCTGCAATTTTGCAAAGTATAAAATATTACAATCTAAATTATGAAATTACATAATAGCAAACAAATCATTGCAAAATGTTGTATGCCAAATAATATAAATTTAACAGAATATGTATATATTAAAGTAATTTCTATTTTTTATTGGAAAAGCTCGGTTAAATGCGGTAATTATGAAAGAGTGAGTAAGCATTATAGTGCAGAAAGTATCAAGTCGGCTGTGTTGAA